GCCTTAAAACAGAGGTTTTGTTTTTGGACCCGAGTAGGTTCTTGAATGTACACTATTGAGTATTATTGTATTGAACAAGAACACAAGTGAGGACAATCGAATGCATTGAAGGACAAGCGTTACAGACTATCTCACTAAATTCTGATAACCATACAACAAAACAGTTAATTTACAAGTTAACAACCAATTGTCTCAATGTTCACTGTTCCTTCTGTAAATATCAGTTCATCTTCTTTAATTCCATTGTTCGTGCATTTTCCTACCAATCACCCTTCATTTCGGTTCTTTTCTTTTTGGTCTTCTGCCAAAATACATTCTATGTCTGACCATCACCATATACTACTTATATGGATATAAGTAGACCACACTACAGTATCATACTGGAGCGAAATACATGTGTGATGCTATCTGGTTTTCTGTAGATGTCACCTCAGATCGGTTCATGATATCAATAACAATCATAAATTATTTTTAGACTGTGATCAGCATAAATCCTTTGTCTCTCCGTTGTTGACAGAAGAGCTTTATCGGCGAGATTAAACTATACTGCCGAGCCAATCAGAAGCTTTCTCGGGTTTTCAAGGTCACAGCGCTAAGTTCGGTACCTGATGCTTATTTATGATCGGTTTACAGCGGATTTTAGGAAGACGTGATAATTCAGCATCTACAAGAGAAGTGATCATAAGATTTTGGCGCTAAATTCAATTATCCATTTGGATAAATAGAAATTTGGCATTATAGCTGATGTCAGTTCGTGATGAAAACCCCAAGTATAATTCCTAGCCTTAACCATGAACTGTAAAATCATAATTAGAATTCTTCACACAGGTTTATACCCTCATTTGGTTTTAGTTATTATGTTGACACACTCTCAGGATCACTCTAGCGTCGCTCAAAGTTTGTCCATAACTTATAGTCTCACCCTTAACCGTAAACCCTAGACCGCAAACCATACCAATATACCAACAACATAGAAGCTATGTGGTCGAGGCTAAAAGAATTTTTGATACTTTATCATCGTTTCAGAGGTCAACTACTATGGAGCCATATGGATGTGTTCCTGTACCGTATGCACTATGATTTTAGAACTTGTGAAACTATATCTGACCTTGAGAAGTTTTTGAGTCATGTAAAAGAACAGTGTCTCCTTTAATTTTTGAGTTTTGTATTATATATTTCACTGTATACTAACTGTCTTCTGATTGGCTAATATTTCTCAAGGTCATTTAAGATTCGCTCAAAGGTCGGCAGCATAGTTTAGTCTCGTCGGTTTATCTTTTTTACATGGTCTCAATACAGAAGCTAAGTGATTCCAGTTTTCAACCTGTTTACATATCACTAATCATTTCAAATGATGAGATTCATATGATCAATATATTGTTCTAAGCTGGTGAATAATTTTTGTCCACTGACAAATTCGATATTCTAGAACGTTAACAAATGAGATAACACAGATTTCGAACATGGCGAGTTACTTAAACCTTTGAACTGATTATTTCTCCTACCATCTAAATATTTCGACAAGTTATCTCCTTTTGTATTTAAATATCATTTATGAGGATTCTTTGCACGACTTTTTCAGTCAAGTCAGCGTCAAATCACTTAACGATGTTAAATTTTACAATCCGAGACTTCGGGATCGTTGGGAATATGCGTTGAAGAGAATAACAGTTAATCAAATATCGATTCTCAAACTGTTATTTTTGAAATTCACATCACTAAATGGTATAGAGGACTATCTTAAATCAATACTAAATGCAAACATGCAACGTATATGTGGTTCAAACATAATTCCAGAATCATAATTGAATGACATATATGACGATTATTTAGTATTGTGGTGTGGTTACTTATTTTCACATAAGTAGTATATGGTGTAAGTCAGGCATAGAATGTATTTTGCTCGATTACAAAAGAATAGGAACGAAGCACAATCAGTATGAAAATGCATGAATGACTGATATTTGCAGAAGGAACAGTCAAGATTGGGACAATTGATTGTCATTTTGCAAGTTAACTGTCAACTGGATGGTTATCAGATTTTTGTGAGACAGTCTATAATTTGTGCTTAAATACATTCGATTATCTTCGCCCGTGTTCTCATTAACTACAGTATTGCCACATGTCTCATATGTTTGTCATCAGTAGCTATCAAGCAATAAGAAAACGTACGGCGTCAGTTTAGCCTAATTTGCAAATAGTGTTAATCTAAATCTGTATGTTTTAAGTTCTTAGACACCAGTCTCAAGTGTTTAACACACTAGAATAAATACAACTGTTTGTTTTATCGATAGTTATGTGACTCTGGACTGCATACCATATGCACTTACTGTTTTCCTTTATGAAACAATACTTCGTTGTTACTGCCTCTAATGGTTTACTTAAAACTACACGTGGCAATCTAAATATATAGGAATATAACTTTCTATCATTACTGTCTAATCAAAATGTGACTCATTTTCTCGATTAATCCTCATTAGAGTTAAACTTTCATTATTGATGTAGGAATATTTGTGACATTAGATGTGCTCCATTGCTTATTATTGATCATTGTTATTCTAAATCTACTTCATCAATATAGCAAGCTTAGAAAGAGAATACTAAAACATCGAATAGAGAAAGTTCAATACAGGAATTACTCAAAATAAAATGTCCAAGATCTGAAAAATATACTACGTACGTCAAACTGAGATTCATTCTTACTTACTTACGTACGCCTGTTACCCCTCGTCGAAGAGCATAGGCCGCTCACCAGCATTGTCCATTCAACTCTGTCCTGAGCCTTCCTTTCCAGTTTTTTCCAGTTATTATTCATCCTTTTCATATCTGCTTCTATTTCCCGACGTAATGTGTTCTTCGGCCTTTCTCTTTCCCGCTTCCCTTCCGGATTCCAAGTAAGGGATTGCCTTGTAATGTACATTGATGATTTCCGTAATATGTGTCCGATCCACTTCCAACGTCTTTTCCTAATTTCCTCTTCAGTTAGAAGCTGGTTTGTCCTCTCTCACAAATAATTTATTCGAAAACACAATTAATGTTAACACTTATTCTAAATTCTGCATTGACATTTACTTTTCTACTGAGACTATTGTAGAACGTTTTGACCAACAAACATTCCTGCAATTAAGCAGACGTCATAGTAAAAAGAAACAATTTACAAATGGGGAAACTCCGCTGAAGTTGAAAAGCCAAATGATCTGACGAACCAAGAAATAAAACACCTGAATCCAGTGTCTACTAAGAAACTCTTATCTCGTAGAAATTTTTCAGTTAGGTGGGAAATACGATAATGTCGATGTTTAGTTGAAAATTTTGGAACATGAATGAAATTTTTATAAGCCTACCCTCCAATTTCATGCTTTCGTACCCGCAAGTTTTAAGAAGAGTTGTATCTCAAATTGTACTGAAATTGAGGACTAAAAAAGAATACAGTCTCTTAAGGTGTCTCAATGTTTATGACCTGAAGAAATTACAAATCTCTTTCTTAAGAAGTGCGCTGACATTTTGTGCGATCGATACAACAGCAGTTTTAACGAATCTTTTTATGCCAAAAATGTGAAGAAAGATAAAGATAATCCAGATAGCAAAGAAAGTATTTAGAGGTGAAAAGGCTAAATTGAGACAATAGCAGTAACTCATTTTTGTCTTGGTTGTTTGAATGTTCTCATTCACGTTTGAGTCTGCAATCGATCAGCCTCTTATTGGCATGTGTGCATTCTATACGGATTGTCTTGATATTGCACTAAAGTGAACATCAAATCTGAGATGCAGGTACATCCAGCTGACAAGTTTTAAACAGAATGGATCGCGAATTGTGAGTTCCACTACTAGCCACCATTCATCTCTGCTTGAAATAGCAATAGATTTAATTTTTCTCAAGACTATCGGAACACCATTTGTACCAATGCTTAAGCCAGTAATAAAAGAGTTATACCCATCCATATTAAATTATTTACAAATGAAAAATACCTACCCTGAATACTGCTGTTGTTTTGTATCATAATATGATGTTCGGTTTGGAAAAGCGTATGAAGTATGTTCCATGCTCGTTTCTATACGATATCTCTTGATTTGACTTTCAAGGTGGGTCACTTCAATAAGGATAGCTGGTTAACTGGTTGACTATGTTTTTATTTCACTGGAAAAAAACATTATTCTATGTTCAGTGGAAAGTGTTTTTAATCAATAGTTAAGGTCTGCTAGAAGGAACTGATTTTCTTCTTAACGTTTTCATGTTTTTATTCTGCATGACATACTAGTTATAGAGAACAGTTTTATCAGTTTTATGGTTGATCTCACTGTATGTGAACCAATTTCAGTCTCTTTAGGTTCTTTAGTAATGAATGAGTTTCCCTTAAATGATGTTCTTTTCCAAATAGTCTGACAGCTAATTTTCTAAATGTCAAAGTAACAATTTATTCCTAAAACCAGAACAAAACATAAACAAACTATTGGAATCCGATAAAAGTTGTACTATTCCAGATCGTGTACAAAAACCGTCGAAGGTCTTTTATCTTGGTGCAATGATCCCGTCTTATCTCTCTTGGTCTTCTCATGTTTTACTGTTATCGATGAAAATTTTCCGTGTGACTTACTATATAAACGAGCTACGTGTTTTTCACATTAGTGGACATTTAGTTTTACGATTTTCGGGTAGTGTTGTAAGCACGCACTACTGTGTAGTTTTTAGTTGTTTGATTAGTGTGAGGACATGGTGTAAAATGTAAACAATATTTTATTATGTAAATACTTTCGGTCAGCGATCCTTCGACATTTAACTTAATTGAATGTAGTTGTTCTGAATATAGATCAAATAATTTAATAAGCGTGACAAAGGATTTCAAAATTTTCCAGACAAGTCTGGTTATCAAGTTACGAACAAAAATCAAATCAGTCAGCTTATGCTGCAAAATATCAGTGGGTGAATGCTGGTATTAAAGCATCAAATATTCAAAATGCACATACACTACAAACAATAAACCAGGTAATGAAACTCTCACCTGATCACACAAATATTGTTTCCATGATGGCATATGCTCTGTAGCTGGTGTCGATTGCAATGGCCAACAGTAGTAATGATAAGATAATACACTCTTCTTTCTGGCCATCTCATCTTGTAATAGACCAGGAACACGTTGCATGCCAGTACCAGGTATTCCATTGACAAATGGAAAATATATTCCATAAGTTACACTCTCGTAAAATATCAATGTATCCTTGTCTGTTTGACGAATAACATTCACCAAGTAATCATAAAACAATAAAAGATTTTGACCTGCAATATCTGTGCGAATACAAAAAGAAAAAGACCAGAAATGTAAGAACCGAAATAGATTTTCAGAGTGAAGACAATTGAAAGTTAACAACAATGATTTCCAATATCGCAGCACATAAGGAAGACAGTCTATGTTAAGCTGAAATGAACATATCTGTGATGGACAGAATATTTTCCGAAATCAAGATTGTGGTTGAGCGTGAATAGTCCTACTTACTTTACATCTAGGTAAATACTTATTTTGCAAGTATTCAGTTAATTATGTTTATGTTTACAAGAAAGAAATTAGACGTACAATAAAGCAACAACTCACAGTAATTAACATTGATACAATTATTAGATCGGTATAATTTTAGCTCACTCTAACTGAATGAAGTTGTCAATTAAGATTAATTAATTTACTTAGGTATTACTCAATAGACAAAATCCACTTCATTTGTTCAACTATGACAGTAATCTATTTTCAAGACATAGGTCATTAATCAATCCAAAAAGCAGGTTTCAAGTGACTTTAAATTCAATGTAACCATGTAACAACACTTTGACAACAAATGATTATCATAAAATGTGATATGACACTACACTAAATACAATGACGTTATCTCAACCCACGAAGCTATTTGTTGTTCTTTTCAAAATGTATATATATTTTATATAAAGTTAGTATAAAACCAGACGGTTTATTACTCAATCTATCAAACTATCATTCATTGTACAAAGAAAACATCTATTTAACTTTCTCTACATAAGATTTGAATCTACTACGTTGTGATGAATATAAATAAATAAAACAATTTCCATGTTTCATATATTCTGATCTCTTATTGAGGTAAGATGGTGGTTGGAGGTGGTCAACAGGGAACCCTGGACTCGGGTTTCGTGCTACTTGGCACTTGTCAACAAGGTGTACCTGTAATCTTGACCACCTCCAACCACCATCTTACCTCAATATACATAGTGCAAGCAGTGTCGAGCTACCTAGACTGGTAGCCACATTGCAACTTGATCGATAGCATTCGATCAGCACTAAGAAGGACTTGACAGGCATGACATTGATCGCCACCCAGTGATCAATCAATTGTGATTCTGATCTCTTGTTAAATTAAAGTAACGCTAGAAAGACAAGATATACTAAATAACATGGATTCATTATATTTCAAAGGTTCTCATCAGTTGGAAACGACTTGAATTTACATTATTACTCTAAAAATTCGTTTACACACAGTAATCAGTGGAGTTTAGTTTGAACTAGGATAAGAAACAAGAAGGGGAAACAACTTGTTCAACATAATGGGTAAGATCACTTTAGATCTTTATGTTGAATATAAAGTCATGAAAATATAGAAGTGAAGTTATCAATCATCATAAATAGGTAATAAATAAACATAAATGGCTAATAAATAAGTAATAATCAAGGTATGTATTTCACACAGAATAAAAGTTAACGTCCCGAGTGAATGTCATTGGGAGTTTTCATTTATGCATTAAAGAGATAATGTAATTAACTAACGTTTAAATAATATAAGACAGCTATATTACAATGGAAATGAGAGGATTGACATTTTTTCCTTCTGTATGCGAAGGTTAAATTGAAAGCCGCAAGAAAGTAGATTGATGATAATTTATTAATATTAGTCAAACCTTACCACTGATGCCTAGAATTGCAATCGGTTAGTCTGTTTTGGAACTCCGCCTGTAGCTCTTCTAGAGTTACTGCCGGTTCCAAGCCCGGGTAAAGGAGGAGGGTTGGGCATGGGGTTAGCGACCCCATCTCGTAGAAAAGCTAACTCGCTAAAAAAACGCTAACCAGAAAAAATAATTCAAACCATTTAACTCTGCCCTCCGAGTTGAAGGAATAATTACGAGGTCTCATGATGAAAGCCGAAATTCTTCAGAAGTCACGAGACCGATGCACCTTCTAACAACCAGAGCAACACTCTTTATAGGTACATGGAAAGTCCGGACAATGTGGGAAACAGGAAAGACCAGCCAAATAGCAATGGAAATGAGGAGATACAACTTGGCAGTACTCGGAATCAGCGAAACCCATTGGACACAAACTGGACAACAAAGGCTAGGTACAGAACAGATGCTGCTGTACTCCGATCACGGAGGGGAAAATGCTCCACACACTCGGGGAGTTGCTCTAATGCTGTCCAAAGAAGCACGAAATGCACTTGTGGGATGGGAATCTCATGGACCCAGGATAATCAAAGCATCATTCAGAACAAAGAAGAAAGAGATCACAATGAACGTTATCCAATGTTATGCACCCACCAATGATAGCAACGACGATGATAAAGATCCGTTCTATGAAAGGCTGCAATAAATTATAGAGAAGTGCTCACGAAAGGACCTCACCATTCTGATGGGAGATCTAAATGCTAAAGTTGGAGTGGACAACACAGGTTATGAAGATATAATTGGACGACATGAACTAGGAGAGAGAAATGAAAATGGCGAGAGACTTGCAAACCTATGTGCATTCAACAAATTGGTTATAGGCGGCACAATATTCCCAAACAAGCGCATACGCAAAGCTACTTGGATCTCACCGGACCAAACCACAGAGAACCAGATAGATCACATCTGTATCAACAAAAAATTCCGAAGATCAATGGAAGATGTGAGAACCTGGAGAGGAGCTGACATAGCTTCAGATCACCACCACGTTGTGGCCAAGATGAGACTGAAGCTAAAGAAACACTGGACAACTGGACAAACAGCACTACAAAGGTTCAATACAGCCTTCCTTCGAGATACTGACAAGCTCCATGAATTCAAGATAACTCTCAACAATAAGTTCCAAGCTCTACAGGATCTACTGAAAGAACAAGAAACTACTTTGCAGGACAACTGGAAAGGGATAAAAGAAGCACTAACTTCAACGTGTCAGGAGGTTCTTGGTCCTAAGAAGCACCATCACAAGGAATGGATCTCTATGGGAACCCTGCACAAAATTCAAGAAAGGAAGAACAAGAAACTAGCAATTAACAACAGCCGAACACGTGCAGAGAAAGTCAAAGCACAAGCAGACTACGCAGAAGCAAACAGGGAAGTGAAGAAAAGCATTAAAGCCGACAAGCAGAACTACATGGGAGAACTAGCAACGGCGGCGGAAAAAGCTGCAAGAGAAGGGAATATGAAACAACTATATGACACAACGAAGAAATTGGCAGGGAGATATAGCAAACCAGAGAGACCAGTCAAGGACAAAGAAGGAAAGACAATCACTGAGATTCAGGAACAGGGGAAAAGATGGGCAGAATAATTCGAGGAACTGCTGAATAGACCAGCCCCATCGAATCCACCGAACATCGAAGCAGCCCACACAGACCTTCCAATAGATGTCACTCCGCCAACGATCGAAGAAGTCAAGATGGCCATCAGACAAATCAAAAGTGGGAAGGCGGCAGGACCTGACAATATTCCAGCAGAAGCACTGAAGTCAGACATTGAAATAACTGCAAACATGCTTCACCTTCTATTCAAGAAGATTTGGGAAGAGGAACAAGTGCCAACGGACTGGAAAGAAGGATATCTCATCAAGATACCAAAGAAAGGAGATCTGAGCCAATGTGAGAACTACAGAGTCATCAGTTTGTTATCAGTACCAGGAAAAGTTTTCAACAGTGTGCTGCTGAATCGGATGAAAGACGCAGTAGACGCCGAACTTAGGGATCATCAGGCTGGATTCCGTAAGGATCGGTCGTGCACAGACCAGATTTCAACACTACGGATCATCGTGGAACAATCAGTTGAGCGGAACTCATCACTATACGTCAACTTTATTGACTATGAGAAGGCGTTTGACAGCGTGGATAGGAGAACATTGTGGAAACTTCTTCGACACTATGGAGTTGCTCAGAAGATTGTCAACATTATCCAAAAGTCATACGATGGATTACAGTGCAAAGTGGTGCATGGAGGACAGCTGACAGATGCATTTCCAGTAAGGACCGGAGTCAGACAAGGCTGTCTACTCTCCCCATTCCTCTTCCTTCTAGTGATTGACTGGATTATGAAGAATTCGACATCTGAAGGGAAATACGGAATACAATGGACTTCTCAGAATCAATTAGATGATTTGGACTTCGCAGATGACCTAACCCTCCTCTCTCATACACACGAACAAATGCAGATGAAGACAGCAAATGTAGCAGCAGCCTCCACATTCACAAAGGAAAAAGCAAGATTCTCAAATGCAACACGGAGAACACCAACCCAATCACACTTGACGGCGAAACTCTGGAAGAGGTGGAAACATTCAAGTACCTGGGGAGCATCGTTGATAAACAAGGAGGGTCGGATGCAGATGTAAATGCGAGGATTGGCAAAGCAAGGGCAGCATTTCTACAACTGAAGAACATATGGAACTCAAAACAACTCTCAACCAATTTCAAAGTGAGAATCTTTAATACGAACGTCAAGACAGTCCTACTGTATGGAGCTGAAACGTGGAGAACTACTACGGCCATCATCAGGAAGGTACAAGTATTTATAAACAGTTGTCTACGCAAAATACTCAACATCCACTGGCCGGATACTATCAGCAACAGCGTTTTATGGGAGAGGACAAACCAGCAGGTTCCAGCTGAAGAGGAAATTAGGAAAAGACGTTGGAAGTGGATCGGACATACATTGAGGAAATCACCAATGTGCATCACGACTCAATCCCTAACTTGGAATCCGGAAGGAAAGCGGAAAAGAGGAAGGCCAAAGAACACACTACTCCGGGAAATAGAAGCCGATATGAAAAGGCTGAATAGTAACTGGAAAGAACTGGAAAGGAAGGCTCAGGACAGAGTTGGATGAAGAATGCTGGTGAGCGGCCTATGCTCCTTGACGAGGGGTAACAGGCGTAAGTAAGTAAGTAAGTGTAAATGGTCTCGACAAAGAGAGTATATAACAGGCTTGATAAGCAGATATGAATGGAGGGTAGCAGTGTAATATAAAGCGCTCATTTCTCTCTATTTTAGATGTAGATGTATCTATATCAAAGAGTTAATGTTAAATAAACAAAAACAAACAACAAATCGTTCTGATCATTGTAAGTTCACCTTCTGATGTTAGTTGTCATCATGGTAATAGAAAATTTATGCTTGTCATCTACCTTCTAATATTCAGATATATGTTATTCCATGTCGCCATATGTTGGTTCTGGACGAGCCGAGATAGAAACGATAAGATGTCGGTTTATTTACTTCAAAAAATATTTCATTGATAATCATGGATACGATTGATAACAATCTTATAGAATCTGATTGCCATTAGAATTACTCAAACACAGTTAATTTCGCATGAAAAGTATGAGTTATGTGATAGCTGGTTATTATTGATCATAAGTTTAAATTTCATTTTGATTGAGGTTATGAATTGACAAATGTTAGACAAACATTGAAAACCTTAAAGCACAGGAAGGCCATTCGGTCCTGAATTTTGAATTCTCAGCAGTGACCATCAATGGTCCTGCAAGCGGGATCACGTTTTAAGAGAAAACAGCTAAGGTTTTCAATGGCAGTTCAACAATGAACGGTTCAAGAACAAATTGACATGAAATTCAAAACAAGATGATGTAAAATTGATCGTTTTATAGATTTGTATCAATCAGCAAATTTCTGTTGTAACCAACGTAATCTCTGTTACAGTCGAAACCGCCATTGGAATAACCTAACAACAATGACTTTTTCGATCTTAGTCAATTAGGATGAGAGTTGAGTTTCTGTACCCATGTAACTTTCAAGCGAAATGATCAACATATTGGGAACAGTTCAGCATGTACTTTTTTATAAGCATCAAACACTCTTAAGTCGAACCAGCAAAAGTGAAACTGAGATTGGTGAATGAATTGGAATTCCAAATTCCATCAAAATTGAACGAATGTGATTCCATGGAGGAAACACTAAAAACTACTCAACAAAAAAGAACCTAGTTAAGTTCAATGTTAACTGTTCTAGAGAAATGTCAACGGACAAAATTTGAAATAAAAATAAAATAGTTGAAGGAATGCAATCTACAATCAATTAACAGTATTAACAGTATTTGGTCTTTCAGTTACGTAATAAACAACTGAATTCTCATTACACTAATGAAGTGATGTTAGACACTAAACATTTGAAAGATTAAAATATTTATTCCATCAAATCATGCCTAAAGAACTTATTGGTATGTTAGCAAGTAACGTTCATACATTGGTCGTATGTGAAATGAATCTAATTTGTCACTTAGGTTAATGATGACAACATGAGACATAAATTGAATACTCGAGTTGAGCAAAAACACAAACCAATCGCCATATTTAAAAAGTGACTCTTTATCAGAATGATTGGGAAAAATATATCAATATTACTGGTTGATGTCGAGGTTTGTAGACATTTTACGAAATCGAATTACCGAAGTGTAGTTGGGCGTAACTCGCATTATTTCATTGCCCTATTTGATTGTGATGATGGTCATTCTAAGTAACGATTCCTAATGTAAAAACACTTATTACTTGTAATGATGCTGGTTTTTGGCTGACAAGTGGTCTATTTGTGACTTCAAACTTGGAAGCTATTTGTATCCTGATAATTTGAGTGATTTATTTCTTATTACTTAACCATAGACCCCGATGATAGTAAAACCAGTGAGATCACATTATTCCTGCCAAGTAAGCGTTCAGAAAACAATATCACTTAAGTAAGTATCTGAATTTATCGAAACCGGTTCAGCTCCAGCTATTCGCCTTTCTTTGTAGTTGGAAAAGCTTTTTCCTATTATTTTGTATTGTTTTCAAAGGTGAAGTTAATACCTACTTATAATTAAAAATAAAATGATTACAAACATTGAAAGGATGCTTGAACAACCAAATTACCGTCTTTGAAAATTTGATAATGGGATCATGGAAGAATGACAGTTTATCATAATGCTCATGGATTGCATGTTCGTGTCTGTGCAAGTTCCTTGGTGTGAATTACTGAGATGTTACAATATTAAACCGTTCAGTGATAGTTTTTTAGTTACTTGTGGAAATAATTTTCAGAAAATACACTGTTAGATACACGTTTGAATCAATTTTTTATATCTGATAAGGATATTGTAACTCAAAGGCCACCATAAATGTTGAGTTTTTGGTATAGATACTATAATTATAATATTGTAATCCGAAAATAACTCAGTCACATCTCCTATTGAGTCAGGTTTCAATGTATTCTGGATTCGGTTAATAATCTATGATTTTTACTTCGATAAATGAACAAGCGAGATTTGCTTTAAACAAAACTAACTGGAATTCTGTTAGCGTAGACATATGTAAAAGTAATGAAAGAGAATTAGTCCAGACATAGATACAAAATGGAAACTCATTCTTGAACTATTGAACTCAGTAGTTTAATATTTACCGAACTCGGAGACTACAATGAAGTCCGAGTTAACTTTAATTCCTGTTTACGTGCTTCGAGTGTTTTCAATGTCATGATTTTCTAAGTCTTGGCAATCCTCAAACCACAATATGTTACTCAAATTCTTGATGAGATCAAAGAGAATGAAGAATCTTTATTTCTTGTGAACATTTAAAATTTGAATTCCTTATCCTAATGCTTCAAGCCTACAATATGAATTTCACTGACCGATGTGAGTCAAATGGTTACTTCAATTTAGTCTAAAGTTCAATCTTCGCGCTAATAATGTCATTCACTTGATTAATCTGGGCTGAATCATCAACACCTCCAAAAGTGATTCACGAGAATAATACTGAAGAGAAGAAAAAAGGAATTATGTAACAAAACCAAATCAATTATTAACTCTAAGAGTCAATATACGCTTGCTCTGAATGTAGAGAAAATGGCTTACCATTTACTTCCAATTCTTCTTCAATTAATTTTGAAGGAATTTATTTTTTTTAAAACCTTAATCACATTCCATCAATTTTAATGCTTATGACAGTTGCTGAATTTTTGTCTAATTATTAATATCCAGGTTAGAAATATGTTATCAATTATTGTTGTAAGTCAACGTTAGCTTTTCTGAATAAGGTTTCACCTCTTAGTTTACTTAGAACCTGAACTTAGGTGAGGAATTCATGAAAAACAAACAGTTGAAACATAGTTAATTCTAAAATGATCTATCTCAACAATATGTCAACAAAGAGAGTGGATTGAATATCATCTGAATGATTGATTGATTACTTTGAGTTACTCTCATTCCTTAAACTGAATCAAGAAAAGTGAGTGCAGATTCATGAAGAATAATTTCCTTTAGTAAAAATAATATTCAATCATATTGACTGAATCGACCTTGATGTAAAAGAAATATGTAAACTATTTGAATGACATACCGACGTTCTAATGTAAACTCATTGTAGAGGTGATACAACATGAAGTTACCACATATTTCTGTATTAGTTTATCATAAAAACTTGTGCACTTTTAAAAATGAAAATATGCGCACTGATGTCCACATTGACGTGATTTATTTTAATTAGAATTTAGAATGATAATTTAAGTGGACTGATAAAAGGGGGACAAGTAAAAACCTGGTTGATTTACAAAACAATAAGCATCCAACGAGTTGAATATCAACTGATTTGAATGAATTCATAGCAAGTAAAAAAAAAACAAAATCTCCAGTCAAATCAAAAGACTCTAAATAATGAAGGAAGCATTATGATGAAAATGTTTAAAAGCAATAGTAGTAAACTCTTGTACACTTGTCACTTACTAGGCAAAAGAAGAAATGGATTTAAATAAAAATTTCCAGGTGGTGGTTCATTTATCAATTCATAGCCTAAAACGTTATATTTCTTCCCGAAACGATCAGTTGTTATCCTCCAATATTCTGCAAAATAATTCCATAATCCTGAAACATTTTTATATATACTTTCAAATGCATGTGCACTCTCATATGTGGCGTAGGTTAAAAACCAGGCACTTTCATTAGGATATTTCTTTAATGGCCAAGGGTATTGGAAGAAATAGGGTGGTCGCTTTATTTTATCCATAAACCAATCAGGCACAGCATCAATTGCACCGAGACGTTTCGATAATCCATCTTGATGCAAGTCAATGATAATATAAACTCCATATAATCCAGCATTGTCGATAATCTTTTCAATAATATCTATATACTCTAGATTGGTCTCATTTTCATGTGGTTTTAATGCTATCCAGCTAAATCCTAAGCGTATAACATTGATTCCCCAATCTCGAAGTACTTTGAATGTATGAGGGTCAAGTAATTTTGGAATGTAAAATGGTGTGACTTTATGCACACAATTGATACCATGAAATAGTTTAATAAATCCATTTGAATCAACAAAGTAACCAGTATCATCGTCAATGGTCACTTTTCCACGAACTTCTGAATATAACACTTTTAGTAATAATATCATTATCCATGACAAGCGTAAGAGTGTATTCACTGGAGTGTTCTTAGAATCTCCAAAACGTTCAAGTTGCTTTGAAGATCTTGTCAATCTCATTGAAATAAATAAAAAATTTCTTTTAAATTCACAAGGACAATGTGTTTTGTTAGGGTTTAACAGCGAATAATTGTAAATGAGAAATATGTACTCAGTAATTTATTGCCAAGAGTTTTTATCAGTCAATAACTAAAATTTAAGTTTTTGTAAAACACGAATTGATAGTAGGAGTATATGGATTATGTACAAGTAATTTTATAATCACTGATGGGAGTGAATATAAATATGGTTTATATTAGATATTTGAGTTATGTGAGACGACTCAAAATGGTTACAGTTTATTATGAATCATTTATTAGAATGGTTTAATTGGTCTTATATATATGTCAGAGTAACCTTGAATGTTTCAGGGCTGTTTCCAAATAATTTATCAAGTTATCATTGGATCAAAATTATTTAAAAGTAATAGTTGGCTAATGATTCAATTTTCAGTAGTTGTTCTACATTTTACAAGTATTTTGAGGCTGAAAGTTGAAGCAATGTGTACAAATTATAGATCATATTCAATCGTTATTATTGAGCATCTAAGTGTTAATTGGTTAACTACTGTACTGTACAAAAGAAACAGAAATCCAATGAGCAATTTTTATTCTAATGATTTCTAATTCACAGAAACAACTTGAAGGTGAATTAGTATATTCTTTGTAAATCAAGAAATTAAAAAGTACATTTACTGTTAAGTCTGTTTTACGTTCTCTGTTCTTATTCACTTCACTCCGACATTTCTGTATTGTTTTATATTACTTATTATCATTATTCAGCAAATAGTTTTATTCCTAGCAATTTCTACTATTGTGTGGTAACGCACGTTGGTCATATAATATTCTGAAATGTTTACACATACTTATAACATTCATTGTATTTATCATTATAATGACTTGAAATCAATTATTGTAGTAAGCACAGTATGCACATATGCCAATTAGAGACTGACCAGTTGCAGTCCTAAACACATCGATGGGAAGATCCAAACAAACAATACTAAGTGAATTCAATTATTGTAGTAGTTATTCGAAATTTTCTGCAGTCGTTCAACCTTTGTTCAAAGTCAACGGTTTCCATCTTGCTTGCTCTTAGTTCGATTTTTGCTTGTTAGTTAACCGTTATCGAGTTTAAACACAACCGACTGTCTTCATATTTCGAACAAAAAGACGTTGTTAACAATACACACACCTTCAATGTTTAGTTTTGTAACTAAATGTTGTCTGTTATTCAAGGAATAATCACTATTTTAGACAAACCGTTGTTTTGGGAAATTCGGTTATCAGCGTATATCAATTGAGTAACTTGGACGCTTACATGTGCTTAACATTTAATTTCATCTTCCACCGTTAGTTAAAAGTGACAATGGGTGGGTATAGTGTGCGTCGCTATATTCTTACTGTATGGATCAATGAAATATAACCACGTTTGATATTTCTATCTCAATGAGAAAATTTATGAACTGGAACTTGTGTTACGATTTGATTAGGTATTCAACGTATCAATCTAGTCGTTATGTAACACAGATCAAAATGCATTTTGTTGACAACAATATATAAACATATAGATTTTCATGTTCCATAGAAAATTCATGACTACATCTACAGAAGACCGCATCACTTACTGAGAATTCAGTGAATATGAAAATTTGTAAGATGTCGAATGTACGAAATAATAAGGAATTGGAAAAAAAAGAGTTCTGATTGAAACAATTTGAAATCGTCCAAATATGTTCAACTGCATTTTTATGATTCCTAGTGTTTTTCATTTGAAATGTAAATTCAGTGTTTTTGTTAAGAAGTCAATCATAAAGGTCATCAGACAATTTTTTCCAATTCCTTTCGTTTCCTTGTGTCTACTAGAATTATTACTGAGATCATTTGATGAGAAATAATAAGAAACATGAGATGCTAGTTTCTATCTAATTCAATTCTACAATATAAAAGTATAGTCAACGCTTTTTCTTCTGACTAACAATAATATCTAAATCAGTTCATAATAATTAACACTCAGATGTGTAGTTGAGCTATTTCATAAATGAACACAACAAAGTGAAAAGTATAAACAGATAATGTAAACATGATTCTTGTGAGATCTGTATGTTACTCATGATCACTTAAACAATAAACCCATGATCATTTCATTTTAAATTATGGATTGAGTCAAGTAGAATGAGATGTTGATCTGTTAACATTTAAATGTCTTTCCCTTCTACTTAATCAGTTCAATTACACTGACATCATTACAAAGACAACGTGAATCAGTAAGAAACATTGTCATAATTTAACTATTTCAATAATTGGAAATTATGTATAAACCATTTTAGTTGAAGTCACAAGCACGTTGGATGTTTATTTTCTGAGAAATGAACACTTACATTGAGGTTCCTCAACACACCACCAATGAATTCAGTCTAAATGTGGTGACTATAAAAAAAATGCTTCGTTTGCATTTCAACAAAACATCTAAATAAATATCTTTCCTTGTTGACACAGAAAGATTAGTTGTATGGGTTTTCCTTAGCATAAAACATGAATTAGTATACTAATTCTCAACCAAATTGTACAGAACATTTTTATAACAGATAGTTGTGTATAGCTCTAGCTAAATGAATTAAAATCCTTAATGACCATAAAACTTCATTATTTAGCACTCAATGACCAAGTGAACACTAAAATAACAAAATAGGTGGGGGGGAGGACTCAATAAATAATGGAAACTTCACTGATAGATTCGGTCTTCGTGAACTCATTGATTACAAAGTGACTGGCATGGAAAGTAGGCAATTCCACAAATCACAAAATCAGTCATTTTTTAACAATTCATAAATAAGCATTCACACAACACCGAATAATCAGTTCAGTAGGATGGAAATGAACTAATACCAAAAAGTGACATCTTGTCAGGCAATAGCCATTATGTCTATCTGACTAAATATCACATTTACGAGAAATCCTCCATAAGCTTATATGATTCACCATATAAGTTTATTGACAATGTTCTCGCGTTCACAATTGTTGAACCTGAACAATATATATGTAACTGATGTTCATTTGTGAGGAGAACTCATTCAAACATTGTAAATCTTAGTTGATATGTTACGATATCAGTAAACTGTTAATCAGTTATGTGTATCACAAATGATGGAATGCATCACATCACTGAGTCAGAATACACGTATTCATTGAATCAACTCAAACGATTTACATTTGTATGAATGATTTTTTTCATTGTAATGTTTGGTAGAAATGAAATAATTAAATTTTTATCTGTGTGTAAGGAGGAATCTTACAAATTATCTTTATTTATTCATAGTCCATACAAAAAACAACATGAATTTAGCATTACTTACTCCTTTCATGTTTCCATTATTCACCGCCATGTTAACGGAAATTGAGATAAATCCCCTTCTGTTTATTTAAAAATAACATTTCATCAATGTTCCATTTTGCAAAGGGCTGTAAAGTTTAACAGTCTATTCAAACTTAGTCATACAGCAATCACCACAGATATATGAAGAAGGAAATTAATTGTGAAATTCCACGCATTATGAATGAAGGTTTGAAAACATTGACTGTTAGTGTATTCACTGAATGATCACATCATGTCAGTTCACTCAATTATCAAGCATTTATTTTATTAATTGATTAGTGCCTATTACTAGTAATCACATTTTGTATATCAAATCATAGTGTTTACATTTTCGTTCCGAGATTACTCTACAGTACTTTTATTAAGTTCAGTTCCGGTGTTGCGTTCACCCTAATCAGTTCATCATTTATTAAGGACACAATAAACATTTATCCATATAGGTTGTAACTATCATTTGTGTTTTTTAATGAAATATTCACGGCTTCGTCTAACATTATACATTCTGTATACGCAGACCACAAATGGAAACTCGAACTAAATAAATTAACTTATTTGTCGATTTTGTCTGTGTTATAATTGTATCTTGCTATATAAACGACCCAGCTATTCATATTGCTTAGTATTTTTATATGATGACACTCGACAAGACCCAAAATCAGAACACGTTGAACAGGAATGAAATTGTATTCAAAATAATAATAGTAAGTGAACAGCAATCACTGATTTGAATAACGTTCATATATTTATAGTATATACATAAGAAGCTTCTAGATTTTTCTCCAATAATATGCCAGGGCTGATCGGTTTAGAATTAGCCAATCAGCGCGCAGCAACACCATCATTCATGAAACATGCTTTAATCCAATCTATATCTCACTAACAGTCTGTAACAATCAATGTTTTACAAGTTGATGTGAATAACAGAATGGAATTGGACATCCTTTGTATCTGTCGATGCAATGATCAGATTAGAATTCCATTTGAATTCATAAACTATGGATTTTGTCAACAAACAACATATGTACATTTGTATGCAATATCCTATGGTGTTTGTGAATAGGTTTCAATAGGTCAATGAGATTAATGAAACCTACAAAACAAATGTTTTTACTTTGAAAGTTGACATAAAATATATATTAATCCAATGCCTCTATTTCCACTTCCACTGTTAGTTTGACTATTTGACTATATCTTAAGAATACTTAGATGACAGAATTCATAATTATCATGGCTTTATAGAATTATTCGTCAGTGTTGCTTATTCATCTACGCCCAATTTCAGACACACTCATTGTTATAACGTTTGCCAGTTACGATGATTCATAGAACATAAATGTTACTAATTTATAGAAGGAATGTAGAAATTTCTCATCTTATTTGACTTGTTTTAATCAATTACAAAATACACTATGGTTCTAACAATTTTGCAAACTTAATCATCATATTGCTTACTGAGAGTATTTCCATGGCGAAAAAATAAATAATTAGCTAAATCGTAATTGACAAACATGAGCAAGTCAATGGGTGTTTTTCAATCAATTATAAGTAAATAAATTCTGAAGTATATAAATGTTTTGGTGTTTCTTTCATTATTGGTATTGTTTTATTAATAATATTGTCATTTCTATCTTTGGTAGTGAATCTTTTCTTTGTGAACGTCTTCGTTTCCATTGAGGATCAGCAACAATGAATGTATGGCCTAAAACTAGAAATAAATAATCGAATATTTTGTCCTACAGCGGAACACCTCAGTAGTAATCATTCACAATTATGACAGATCTTGGAGCACAAACTTGCAAACCTGAAGGTGAGAAATAAAAATGTAGATCTCTGGGATAATAAAAAACTCATCAAATATTATTGTTCAGTTAATTCACAATGGCTCTTGCTGATCATGCAATGTCATAGATGATAAATATCTCACCGTTTATCTATCTGAACCCCAGTGGTAACGACTTCTCATTCGGATCTAACGATGTTTCTTGGTGTGCTACGTGGTTTCACAAACAAAAATGA